CTGCTGCGGGTTGCGCTGCTATGGCTCCTACTGCTGCTGCTGGTGATGCTGCACCAGCAGCAGCGTCAGCGCCAGCTAACAAACTCATTTAGCCCCGAAACCTACAGTGAATGCTGAGGTGTATGTACAGTTGAAAGACGCATATGGATTCCAGCCCGAGAGGAATCAGCTACTGCTGCTGCGGTTGCTGCTGCTGCTGTAGTTGCTGCTGCTGCAGCACTTGCTGACGAGCATCCTGCTGTAGCAGCTGCTGCGCAGCTGTAGAAAGCCTTCGTGGGGGGAGAAAAGCCAGCAGCAGCTGCTGCTTCTGTTGCTGCTTCCCTTGCGGCCTTATACAGAAGTTGTTGCTGCTGCTCTCACTGGTATTTCTCTGGCTCCTGCTGCCGCTGCTGCCGTTGCTGCTGCTCCTGCTGCCTCTGCTGTTGCTGTTGCTGTTGTTGCTGCACGTGTATCTGCTTCTGACCATCGCCTTACACCTTCACTTGCTCCTGTTGGTGTATGTGCTACACCTCAGAAGGATTTTATAGCTAACCTGCGGCAGCAGCAGCAGCTGCTGCTGCTGCTGCTGCGGCAGTCGCAGCAGAAGCAGCAGCAGCGGCAGGGGTTCCCAGTACAGCACGTAGGCTATGCCAGAGCTAATATATTCAATCAAAACATTTTCATTAGCCTAAGAGTTGCTGCAACGATATTTTTTAAGGAGCGCAGCTGGGGGGGCCCCCTTGGCCGGGGGCCCCCATGGGGGCCCCCCGTGGGGCTGTATCAGTAAGGGGCCCCCAGACTGAGGGTGTGAGCTGCAGCAGCTTTTTTGCGTTAGTTTTAATAATAAGAAAAGCAGCAGCAGTAATAAACTTTCTTAATAAAATATTTTTATATTTTTTATTTTAATTTCATTTTATAGATGAATTGGAGTGAACAGCTTGTCCAGGTGTTCAATACATAAAAAGATAAATTATTTTTACTATAATTTTTAATATTATTAAATATTTAATATATTAATATTATTAAATAAAATAATATTTAATTGAAACATCCCATTATTATATTATTTCTCGTTGCTTTCATTCGCCTCACCTGTTGAGGCTGCTACTGTTGCTGCTGCTGCTGCTGCTGCTGCTGCTCCGGCTGCGTGGCTCTCGGGACTGCTCTTCCTATATATATATATATATATATATATATATATATATATGTTTCAGCAGACAATTGTTATAA